GTAGATTTTAAACACCCACTTTGTGAAGCAAGGGCCTGATGAATAAGGAAATACTTCAGAAAGAAATGCCTAATTAGGGTGGGTCTCAAATACCATTGTTGGAGGAATTTTACTAAAATTACTGGCCTTTATAGTCAAGCAGAATGCATCAGATTACTAGGTAGAGCTCAGGGATAACTGATTACTTCAAGAATTAAGACTGCCTCAAAAAAAAAAAAGGCCCTTGAGCTGAGATGAATTTAGATGTTCTCATACGAAGCTTCCCCATAGCGGCTCAGTGACCTCATGACACTACAAGATTCTTAACTGGAGGCTTTAGATACACAATACTCTAGAAAAACCAGATTCTAAGCAACTGGCCTGAAAACAAAACTAAGGTTGACCACTAAATGCATTTGAAAACTCAGATTCTCGCAGATAAATGCAGAGAGCAGAATGTATTCAAGTGGTTTCACATATGACAAGTGAAAGTGCCCAGTGTGCTTGCCACTCTGCGAGCAGTTAAACCCGAGACAGCGTCTCAGGACACGGAATTGTAAATCTCTCTTTGTAAAAATACAGGAAAACCCTCCACCTGGGAGAGCAAGGGTGGACTGAGGTGGCCAGGCCCGGCAGTGGGATGGCAGACTTCCCGGGTGGATGGGCCCCGTCCACAGGGGCAGCATTTCTCCTGCACCCACCCTCAGGGCTACGCACGCCAGCTCCGCATCCCCCAGGATCCTCCTGGTGCCCAGCAGCTCTGACGTCAACTTCCTTACTCACAGAAATGCATCCCAGGCTCCTGAGAGCTGGCCAACAACCAGAGCAGTTCAATAAACGACCAGAGTCAACCCAGAGACCCTAACACCCTGACCTCCGGCTTCTTCAGGTCTGTTGATTTGGCTTCTTGATTTGCTTGCTTAAAAGTTTTTTTGAAGTCTAGGCAAAAACAGCAAGAAATAGAAAATGGCAAAGATGCCCTGGGAAAAGCAGTGCTTATCAACATATTTAACCCCAGAATCAGAGAAACCTGGAGGACCAAAGCGAAGGTGGGAGAAAGCATCGGGGAGGTCACAGAGAGGGGCCGCATTACAGCAGCTCTGTGGACACCATGCTCACACAGCCAAGAGCCTGAGGGGCACCTTCCAACCGAGTCCAGAGCTGCTCAGGGAACAAAAGCCCCCGAGACCAAGTCCAGGCGTCCCCTCCCTGACATGACGTGTGTGAGGGTGAGACCAAATCCCAGAACTGAAAACACCCCTCACACAGAGAAGGGATGGCCTCAATGTCAGCAAGAATGACATAAAGAAAAACCTTCAGTGAATCGTGTAACTTCTGAAATACGTTTAGATGGACCTCAAAGTTCCAGCCCCACACTCCACTCCACTTTAACCCGTGTAGGGGTTCAACCTCTCCTCCAGCTGCTTCCCACTCTCTGCTCCAAACCTCCCTCCCAGCAGACAGGAGTCGAGATCTGATCATGAGGACAATGTGACAAACAGCCCCCTGCACCCCGACTGTGCTGGAGTGTTCCACGGGGTCCTCATGATCACCCAGTGAGAAGGGGCTCAATATGCTCACTTCATGAAGGCCTTGAGAGTTAGCCCACATTCCCAGAGCCACACAGGTGATAAGTGGGGGCAGCATTAAAGCCCGCAGATGGGACCACTGCTCCCGTCCTTGGTATCTGACTCGAGCCCACTGACTCAGCATTCAGCCAGCGATAACCAGGCCTCTGACCTTTTCTAGGGTCTCAGGGCACAGAGAGCTTTCCACACTCCGCCCATCTGTTCCCCCTTGCCCTGGACTTGGAACGAGGACACACTGTGCGGATCAAATGCGCACAGGACAACAATTAGACCCAAGATCCCAGTGACCTGCCACAATAAGTTGACTTGCCAAGATGTCCCTCAGGGATCAAAATAGCATCCTGGCCTTGGTTCAACCCTGCCCCACCACCTACTTTTCTGGATTAGACGTCTCATAGCTTCAGAAGGACTAAGGAGTGGACATCACATGCAAAGAAAGGAGGGAAAGGAAATGATCACTTGTTTTGTCTGCTGTGGGTCACAGGTTAATCTGCTGATCTTGCGACATTTCAGTCATATTTACCTCTATTTTCACAGATGAAGAAACAAAGCTGTACTGTTCGTGAAAATACAAAAGTAGACATGGGTCTTACCATGTGGGACTTTGAGTACTACCAGGAGCAACTTGAGATTTTACTGGGTGATGAGGAGCGTGGAACTGTTTAAAAAGGGATCAAGTCAAAGTGCAAAGGGGTTTAGCTCCTTTGAAGAGCAATTTGGCAGGATCTAGTGAAAACGAGACCCTCATATTCATGAAACTAGCAACTCAAGGTCCAGGTGTGAGCCTTGTATTTGTGCAAGGAACACGGACAAAGATGCTCTCTGCTGCACTGTGAAAAGCGCAGAACAGGAAGGAGAAAGACACGCTGCGCTTATGCTTACAGCGGAACACCCCACGGTAGTTAAAAGGATGAGCTTGGGCGGTGTGGACTGGAACGAATAAACTTCTACCACAGAAGGTGAACTTGGGGATGAAAAAGCAAGCCGGTAAATGATTCTTACACTACTAAGCCATCTATGTAAAGTTGAAAACCATAAAACAAGGGCTCCGTGGAAGAGCACCCACTTAGCACACGCCAGGCCCCGGGTTCCATCCCCTGCACCGCAAAACAGACCAACACAAGAGACCATAAAACAAGAGTGCGTGTTGTTTATGGAAATACGAAGATATTATGAAAGCACAGAATCATCCAGGGAATTTATATATCAACTTCAGGATGGTGGCTAATTCGTCAGGAGGAGGGTGAAGAAGGATACAACCATAGCTGTCTGTTATTTATTTTCTGTACTTTCTGGAAAGTCTAAAATGTTTCCTAAGTTAAAAATTAATTGGTTGCATCCCAGAGTGGACCACTCCCTGCTTTAGAAAATGCTCTGCGGGCCATGTGCACCTCAATCTGGGAAGGGAAGACCAGAGGCCAGGAAGTCGGAGATGGGAGGGACGATGAGGCTTAGGCCAGGATGTGGAGCAGAAAAGGAAATGAAAGGGAAGAGGCAAGTGATTTTCAGACGGATGAGTCACACGATTCGGTAACCGTCTAGAAGGTGATGACAGAATGAGGAGAGGGAAGAACCGCAGACCTCCAGCAGTTCAAGGAACACGGGCCCCAGGTACAGCCGGGCTGTCCAAGATCTTCACAGTTAAAGCCCCTGGTTCACACCCACCTCCTGGACACCCATCTCAGGGTGAGACGCTGGGACGAGCGGGGCTCTAGTTCATGACAGTCAGTGCTCTGGCTGCTGAGAGAACACGAGCCTCACGCCCAATGGTCAGGACGGGAACAAGGGCCCTGTGTCCATACTGGGTGATGTCTGCCTGAGACCAAAGCCTCCTCAGCCTAAAAGTTCCTGAGGGCCCAAAGGCTACCTGGTCCCAGTGCCTGGAGAGTAGGTTCAAGTCCCAAAAATAGCCAAGCCTGGTCAGTGATGTGCTGGACTCACGTGGCAGTTTTCACCACCGTAAACGGGTGCGGTGTGCTCTGATCACTTACAAATGCCCGTGGAGTGATCACATCACACCTGACACCTTCCAACAGCTTCCTCCTCTCTGAATAAAAGCTGAAGTCCTTCTCAAAACCAGTGATCTGATGCCATCTCCTGCTCCCTCCCCACATCTTGAGCCTGGAATGCCCCAAAGTGCTCCCTTCTCAGGGCTTTGACGGCTGCTCTTCCCTGTCCACCAGGGGCTTTCTCCGCCCTTCCTGCTCCCCTGTCCTTCAGGGTGCCCTCTCCACCTCATACGCTGCATTCCCACTTGTTCATTTGCCGGAGGTCTGCTTCCTCCCCACAGCATGATCTGGTTTGCTTATGACTTCCATCTCCCCAGGACCTGACCAAACTTCTAGTATGAACCTGAGTGAGTCAGGGAATTCCCCCTATAGAAATCATGTGTACAATGTGACACACGAATTAAAATCAATCATTTTAGGTATTTCACCAGGAAATGACCAGTGGATGCCACAAGTTGAGAAGGGTTTGCTCACTGGGGCAGGCTACTCACACTGGGTAGGCATGGCGTGTTTCTGGCCATCTTTGTCTGGGGAGCTCCTGTCCGAGAAACCCCACGCTTTTCCTGGCTGCTACTGTAGACTTGGTAGAGGGCAGGGCAGAGGAGGGGGAAATGAAGGGGGACACCTGGAAGCAGAAGCGCTGCAGAAGGACTGAGATCTCAGCAATCTGCACACATCTCTGAGTGACTGCCAAACTGCAGGTACATGCAGACATGGGAGGGAGCCCAGGGAAAATGGAAAGTCTGGGAAACTTGTAAATTTCTTGTGTTTGTAAATGCAAACTCCAACCTACACACAGCTCAAGTGGCAGAAGGTGGAAACCTTACTGGCTTGACGTATCAGAATACAATCTTTGGCCCAATCTAATCGGCAGTGAAACTATGCAGGGGGACTCCAAAGATTGGGGGAAAGAAGCAGCAGAGATGCTAGCAGCTAGCTGCAAACCACAGAACAGATGGACGCTTCAGATTAAGAACATGCAAGTCAACTGCTAGCTAAAACCAACAAAACCAATGAGCCTTGGGAGAGTAAGATGATTCAGAACCACCACCACAAATTATCTGTGTTTATTTTTATGGTCAACTTGTTTTTTACAATAGTACAATTTCACAGAAATCTAATGGGTCAAAACATAGTCTTTTCAACAAATGGTGTTGGGTAGCTACCTGTGTATCCACATGCAAAAAGACGCTCATTTATGTGTGTGTGTGTGTGTGTGTGTGTGTGCGCGCGTGCGCACGCGCGCACGCACCTGCCACATGTGTGTGACCACAAAAAGCTTCTCTGTTTTGTACCCACAGGCTATCTGGAAATGGTTTGTTCCCAGATGAACTTCTCTCAGACTAACAGCCACAAACTCCTCCCATGTCGTAAGCACACCCTTTTGCAAGGTGGCTTTGCTACTCTTCCAGAGCATTAGTGATGTCTGGGCTCGCCTTGTAACTTTGACCAGTAGGATGTGGCAGAAGTGAGCCCTTGAGAGCCTTGTCCTCCAGTCTGAGGTTCTAACTTCACCCTCTTGAACCAAGAGAGACCCGGCAAGGAGGACAGAGAAAGAGAGAGGCCACATGGAAGAGGACAGAGAAGCCAGCTGGCACTACTGCCAAGCCACTGGTGAGGCCACCTTGAACCTTCCAGCCAGCCTTCCAGTCCATCCAACTGTGGTCACGTGAGTGAGTGCAGAGGACCTGTCCAGGCAACACACAGACTTGGAAGGAAAATTTGTTGTGTTTGAGGCCACTAAGATTTGGGATGTTTGGCATGATTTGTCATCAGTTGACAAAGGCTAACCAACACACACCCCCCAAATGAGGCAGGCTCCTGAGCACCTGCTCTGCATGATCCCATTCACACATCTCTCAAAAACAGGGCCAGAATGGGAGATGGGTGGCAGGCACCTGAGCCACACAGGCGTGTGCCTTGTGAGTGCTCTCCCGGGCTTGGAGTATGTGGGCCAGCCTTGTTCCATTCCTCTGGGGGGACTCTGCAGAGAGGACCCATCAGAACTCCTGCAACATCCCATCTGGAGCATCTATCCCCACAGAGTCATCTAGGGAACACCTGGCACGTGCCAGTTGCTGATCTAGGTAATGGGCTCGTCTGGTGAACAAAACTGATACCAGCCCTGTCCTAGTGGCACTTACAGGTCCTACAGGACAACTGACGGCAGCCTGAACAGCCTAAAAGCAATGACTTGGCCATGAAAGATAATATCAAGATAAACACCAGAAAGTACTAGATGCCAGCTGCTAAGTGAGTCGCATAACTAGTTCCCTGCAGCTCCTCTGCCCACACAGCCACACACCTTCCATTTTGTTTCTGTTTTTCTCTATTTCAGGTGAACTTTCCCTTCATGATCTCACTCAGCCACCTGACTCTGCTGGGCAGCAGATCCCATCTTAACCGTCACACGCTGCGCCTGATGGCTGCTGTTCTGCAGGATCACAGATGCTGCTCACTGCTAACAGAAAGCCGTTTGGATTCCCATGTTTTATATAATGGACTAGGTACGTGGCACTTGGAATTAGGTACAGGAAATCTCTATTTGAGCAAACCAGATCCTGCACCTTTGCAACAAGCCCCAGCGATGTGAGCGAAGACCTGGGGAATAAGCTCAGGCACAGGTGTCTTGAATGCTGGAGGAGGGATGAGCAGGTCACACACTGTTTTCCTCTCTGTCATGTTCTCAGACTTAGGTACTAAGTGTTTCATCTTGGAATGCCAAGTGACAGCGATTTGATTAGACCAAACCATTTATTAAGTAAAGTCGTAAAATAGAACTGTGCATGATGTGCCCAAGTGTTTCTTAAAGAGTTAAAAATGAGAAATATACCTTTCTGCACAGAATATACCATCACCCCAAAAAACCTATGATAACAGGAAAAGGTCTCAAAATGCCTCACTATAATTTTTTAAAAATTAGATAAGAGAGGGAAAAAAGTTTATTGTAGAGCATTGTTTGACCTTTTCTGCACCTGTTTCCATGGAAACAGATGTTGGACAAATAGGGTTTATAAATGCCTAGGAATCATGAGGTGTCTATAAGCCCTCACCTTGTTTTGAGCCATCTGATGTCTATTTCCATAGAAACCAGAGTGGAAATGAGGGCAGCAACCATGAGTCAGTCTGTTGGGCAGCTAGTTCATCCCAGGCATGGTCTGGGAACCCAGGAGCTGCATTACAGAAACAAACGAATTTAGAAGCTGAAAAGGTACCAGAAAAAAGCAAAAGCCTTAGTTGGGAAACACTGGTTTCTTTACTGACTTGGTTGAATAATGGAAAAGCCTTGCAAGTACTATAGACATGAGACAGACGTTTCTCTGCTAATTAGGTAACAAGTGTGGTCTGCCCCATGCCAAGCAAGCTGGCACCACAGTGACCATCAGCAGAGCGATGGTCTATACTATAGAGTCACTATAGAGACTACTCAGCTGCTGGCTCTTTGGACAGATGCCCTGAAGCAGCTTCAGGTGGCCACCAGTCTCACAGATTATGAATGAAAGTGCCAGAAGGGAAAGGAGTCCGCACCCTCAGCAATGTACCTGCCTGTGAAATGCAGGGTCAGTGGGGGAGGCTGGTCAGGAATGTCTGATTCCGTGTTCTTCCTCCTCTGGTGCCTTCTGTATAAAATCCATTCCACCCTGCATCTGAGCTATACCCTACACCCTCCAAGCCAGGGTTCCCCATTTGGCATCCCATTTTCCCAGCTACTGTGGTTCCAAAGTTACCAGCCTTTGGGTCCTAATTACATGCTCTGCCCTGCTAAGTTCCCGACTCCCACTGGTTCCCCTCCAGGGGACTCCCTGCCTGGCCAAGCTCAGCCCCACTCCCTCCTGAAGCCTGCAGTGGGAGGGAAGCTGGGATGGAGGGCTTGTCCAGTCTAGGTTTACAGTTCATTCCCAACAAGGACTGCCCTGGGGCCTCGGGCAAGTTTCTGAGGTTCTCTAAAATTTGCTTTTCTCATCCCCAAAATGGGGCTCATAATAGCCTTACTTGGCGGAGAGGAGTGAGGAGTAAGTGGAAGGAGGGGGTGGAGGTCCAGGCCAGAGCCTGCACACAAGCGCAGTTTGTAAATCGCTGGCTGTGCGGTCACACTGGGCTTTCCGGGTCTCCACTTAACTGGACCTCTCATGCCAGATTAGTCTTCCAAAGGCTTGGCTGTTTGCTCCCTCCCTCCTGGGCAGACAGATCCTGGGGTCTCCCTTCCCTGCAGTCTTTCTGCTCCTACCCTTGCCCGTCACACTCTCTGAGCTGGCGCACCGTGCCTCACCCTTGGCTGGCGGCAGGCAGGCTCTCGGCCGGTGCGTTCTCAGCCTGGCATGCTCTAGCCCCACCACTTATTTGCTAAGTTCCTGTCTTTAGTTTTTGATAAAAGTTCCTTTTGGAAGATGTGGACCTTTATTGGCTAAGGTGACTACAAAGGAATCCAATGTGAATGTCATGACCAGATGCCCTGGTGGCAATAACTGTCCCAGTTCTGGAACCCAGGTGGAAGGTAACAGCAGGCAGGATGAAGTGAGAAAACTTAGGGGGCGAGCTTGGAGACCACACAAGGTCCCTGGAACTCCTTCAGCTCTGGAGAGTCCATATCTGGAGAAGAGGGAGATGAGGCTAGAATGTCCAGAGGCGGGGGCCAGGCTGCTGAAGTCTCGCATGTTTACTGTGTCTTTTCCCCCCTTTTATGATGCTGTATCTGGGGCCTTGCTGACCCTGGAGTGACGGCCCCTCTCAAGCTAGCCAGTTCCTAGAGACAGAAAACAGTCTGCCCTTGAGCACACTTTTCAAATAGAAACCAGCCAATCCAGAGTTTGCACCCCAGTCTTTATTAGGCTCTTACATTCCTGGCAAGTAACCACCTGCCTCAATCACCCCAAGGCCAGGTGCCAGACAACTAGGGTTAGCCCCTACAGAACAGAACTCACTAAAACAATGCAAACTGGACAACTCAAGGCCTGTTTACCCTGCCTTGCTTACACTGTGCCGCAGAAACCACAATTTAGGCTCTCATCCACCTCTTCCTCCTCTCCTGCTACCCCTGCACTGATCCCAAGCTTCCCTGTGTATGCCCCCCCGCCCCGGGACATGGTGTGCACCAGCGCCTGGGCACAGCAACTGTCTGCTGGCCTGTTGGTCTTCCTGAACCACACGTTGCCCATTGATACACTAGATTCTAAAACCCCTTGGAGACCACAGCATTATCTAGGGCTTCTGTCTGGTGCCCAGACCCCCACCACATCAAGCGTGGCAGGCCGGAAGCTGATGACAGCAGTGACACTGCTGCTGCTGCTGCTGCTGCTATTGATGATGACAAAAAGGGCTAGTAGCCCCAAGGGCTTAAATTGTCCTAGGCACTGCGCCAAGTGCTTTGATAGTGATTATCCATTAGTGATGCCCGAACAAACAGGGAGATTATAAAAGCCACGGGTTCAGTTCTATCACTTCAGCCTGACCTTTCTTTGGATACTAATATTTACACCTAGGGGCTGTGTGTTGGTAAAATATATCTAAAGAGTATCACATGAAGTATCATATTAAGTTCTACCTTGAAAGTTAATGGCATGGATTGTTTTTGCTCTACCTGAGCCCCAGCCTCAGCCCTTTTCAATTTTTTATTTTCAGACAGGGTCTCATTAAGTTGCCCAGCCTGGCCTCAAACTTGTGTTCTTCCTGCCTCAGGCTGCTCAGTTGCTGAGATTACAGGTGTGTGCCACTGTGCCCAGCCTGACAAATTTTTAAATGAACAAGACCCAGTTTTCTGCTTTCTACCTTGATGCTTTGGAAAATAGTTTTGAAAAAAAAAAAAGCTCTAAGCTTCCTATGTCAGTCAATCATGTGAGATGGTCACTGGTTCTGGGCTTCCAACGCTACCTCAGGGTCAACCTCAGCCCCACCCACCAGTCATGCCTCTTTCCTGTACCCGGCCAGCTTCCTTTCCTCAGAAGAATGTGTGCATGTGCCAGGGGGCCAAGGGGAATAACTGGGGGCAGGACTGGTAAGAAGGGATTCAAACTCGCTGGCTGCCCTGTAAGAGGCAAAGCCTGTCTCTCCTGGAGAGATGAGACTTACATAAATGCTGTGATAAAGAAGTCTCCAGAGAGCTGCTTTGTTGACAAGAGGGCATGATTTTCATCCCAAGCCTGTCCCTAGTGCTGCCATGTCTCCTGACAAGCTAAGCTAGGGTGGAGGTGTTCTGATACTGATGGGGTATCAGAAACGCCCTAAAGGAAGAAAGAGCCAGACATCATTTCAACATGGCTGTCACCATGCCTTGGAGAATGCCCTCAAAGCAGGATGAATGAAGTGAAGCTGGTCCCAGGCCAAGTTAAGGCAGAGTGAAAGGATCACAAGGGCAGGGGAGAGGAAGACCACGGGCACCCGGGTTTGCACAGTTCCTCTAGAGAGGAACCATTAGAGGACTCTGATGCCCCATCTCCTGACCTCCCTCCCTCCCTCCTGGGGCCTGGTGCTCAGTGTCCCTAGGGCTCCATATCTGCATTCAAGCCACCTATGGCTCTGAGGGAGAAGAGAAGGAGGGACTCCCAAATTGTAAAATCCTGCTCTGTCTTAAACTTCATTGTTACTACTCCAGTTGTTTAAGACTTGTTGACCAGATTGTCTGTCTGGGTACCTATTCCTTGTCATTTGTTATTATCTCCTTGCCTGAGGTGTTTTTTTTTTTTTTAAATATATATATTTTTTAGTCATTGATGGACCTTTATTTTATTCATTTATCTATATGCGGTGCTGAGAATTGAACCCAGTGCTTCACACGTGCAAGGAGAGCGCTCCAACACTGAGCTACAACCCCATCCCTTGACTGAGTTCTTCATCTTCTCTGGGAAGCTCTTCTTAGTCTCACTTGCTCATTCCTACCTTGCTTAACCTTCTTGGACTTAAATGTCTTGCCCTCAAGACTTATAAACTTTCCAGCACCTGCCTACAAGATTCTGATTTCACTCTGTGGGATCTGTTGTGCCATGTTTTATTCTAATCCCTTTATAACTCTAACACAACCAATGGCTGCACTTTTCTATTTCTTGACTTCTTAAAAAAAATCCTAAGAGTTCCAATTCTCTACCAATTAATTTCTTACAATTCACATTTAAATTAATAATTCTCCAAATGACTATATGTGTGAAAGAAGGTAAATGGCAATGACTCATGTCATATGCATTGAGTATTTAAATTAGATTTAGAGAACAGTATAAAAGACCTTAAAACAATGAAGACATACAATGTTCTTGGAATGGAGCACTCCACCATTAAGGTTCCAATTCTCTTCAAATTGATTGATAGCTTTAGTACAGTCCCAATCAAAATTCCAGCTAGTTGTATGGTGGGGGAGGGAAGTGGGAAAGTTCTCTGACTCATGAAAGGGAGAAATCTATTCAAAAGAAGTTAGTTTTAACTGCCAATCAAAAATGAAAATATGGCAAGTTATCTTTCTTTGATTTTTACAGATGTCAATAATTTACCTTATTATAATTTATGCAACAGAACACATTTGATTACTATAATATCAATTAAGTTGGAGTGTAATTTTGTGAAAAATTATTCAGAGTTTAACAAAAAAGGATTTGAATATTTAAACCAGATTTGATGAGTTCTTTAAAAGTCAAAAATTGAAAACTTGTTATAATCTTTCAAACTAGAAGTTTAAAAGCCCCTGAACTGCATGATAGATGTACAGGAATTCTCTGTTACTACTTTTCCTTTTCTTTTTTTATACTAAGGATTTAACCCAGGGGTGCTTTACCACTGAGCCACATCTCCAGCCCATTTTTA